AATATTCTGGGAAATTTACAGGATAGTGAAACAGAGGAATATGTCTTTATAGGATAATCTTGTAGCCATTTGCTGGTCTGAAGCAGTTTGTTAATCAATTGCCAGAAGACTCGATTACAGTTTTTACAGTGACATTACCCAGACACATCACTTCAGAAGCTGAAAATTCTAGTGTTGAAATCACAGCTCCAGAAAGGGTAATTAATGAGCGTAGTGTTGCCAGTTTGAACTATTTTACTGTTAACCTTGAACCACTGAGCATTTGGGATCCCCACACATGCCTCCCATTCAAGGCCAGGCCAGCCAAAGATGGAGTTTTGAAAGGAGAACATTTATCTCAACTCACTTTCCTTTGTTTCCCCTCCTGATTCTAAGAAAAGCTTGAAAACATGGCCACTGCCTAGGGTGAAGGTGCAAAAGCTGGAAGTGTGGTGCTAGAGACAAAAGCAAGAAGATAAAGGCCTGGATTATGGAGGCTGGCAATACCATGTAGTCCCAGGCAGATGACCCCTCAGCCCATCCCTCTGGGAATGTTTGCAGCTTGTCCATGAGGAGGGTTGTTGGAGCATCCCAGAAGTGCCTGGTGCCTTGTGTGCAGAATAGGTTTGCTTTGCCACAAGCGCATGCTAAAACAAGGTATTATCATAACTTTTCATTTCAAGATACAATTTCAGGAATATAGATTTTGATGTAGATTCTGAAAAGGTGAAAGTTAGTGCCTTTATGTGACCTCCCCCTGAAGCTGTGCTGTAGAGCAGGTAATGGACATGTAACATCATTGATGAATGAAGCTTGCCGGGCAATTATGTTCTTGGCATGTGATTCTCAGTTGTATGAAGATGTAAAAGGAAATAGTGCCTCCTAAGGACATAATATGCCTGTGCCTATTAACTGGTGACTGCTAGTTCTTATTTTCTTCCATTTTATTGAATTTCTAACAACCAATTAATTCATTTGTTTAAGGGGAGACTTTTTACCTTAAAAGAAGGTAAGTAGTCCATTTTCTTCTGGAGAATAGGTTAGGAGTCTTCCTTTCCTTTAGGAGTGCAGTTTACCCTCAGGAATGAAGAAGCCTGCTTCTACTTGTACCAAGAGTTTTGTGCTTAACAGAAATGCAGCAGCCTCCTGGGTGAAATGAAAAATATTAGGAGCTGAGAGATCCTCCATTATAAAGCCAAGCAAATTGCTTTGATTGAATCTTTAAATATTTTTTTTTTAACTCATAAGGGGTTTGTAAATTATTTTGAACAAAGGTTTTGCTCATTTAAATGGTACAATTGGAATTCATCAGAGACATTTTTCTATGGGCAGACTTGCAACATCTGGCATATTTATTAAGCCTTTTTTTCTACTTTTATTTAAAAAGGGATGGGGAAAGATATTATGAATGAACCTAAGTATTGTTGATTGAAGCCTGCAAATATTCTAGTTATTTTTATGAGAACTTAAAAAATATACCTGTCACAACAGAGCAGTTGATACTAATGGGATTTAATAGTATGTACTAAATAATTAGGAGAAGTTAAGTACAGGAGGAGCCCTGCAGACCATCAGAGCTCTGCTGGAGTGGCAGCGTCTTGGCCCACTATATCCAGTTGCAATGATGTAGTGCAAGGCATGAGAATGATCAGGTACCTTCATCATGTAGGATCCAATCTTAATTCCACTCAGAAAAGGTAAGCCTTCTGCTCAAGCCTAGAAAAATACAATTGTGAATCCCTTTTTGAATCCTCCACAATAGGTATGCAATTATAACTACAGTCACATGATGTATAAGGACAGCACAGTATGTTATTGTTTACAGGAGCACTTTCATTTGGGTGTTGTTAATTTGAAAATCTTCACTCTAAAGAACTAAGAAGTATTTAGGATGTTGTGATTGGTATATATCTAAAAATATGCAGAACATACTTGAGCAAATGGAGCACAAATTTGCCCTTTTTTTTGTCTGAACAGTTATTGATTTTTTTTTTAGCCAGTATGATTTTTTTATGCCATGTGGGTGCTGCTTAGCTTCCATGAAAGAGTTTCAGTACAGTCCACAGAAACAAATGGTTGGAATTTGAAGCATTATGAACCATATTTTTAAACAATACATATTTGAATAACAGCCAGAACAGACTCAATTTTTCTAAACATTTCCTGCTGGTTGCCTGGAGGAGCAACTGCAGCTGCATGTTGACCAGGCTGGTTAGTGTGGGCAGGAAATCAGAAATTGGAGCTGTGTTTTGGGAGGGGCAGGGTCTCCATTTCAGAAGTGAGAAGTTCCTCTGTAGCTCTTTGAAAGAGTGACCTCCCACCTCAGCTGTCCTCTCAGGACAGACAAGGTTGCATGTGCCTCTTCTCTCAGAGCTGCTGGTACTGGGTTTACTGTTCACATGTTCAGACACATGACCTTCCCAGCAGAAGGTCAGACAGGCTCTGACACTTTGGTAGCTCCGTTATGCAATCCAACCCATCCCTTTACTTCTGAAATGACAATATGTGTTGAATATTTCTATCTAGACAACTAATAGCTGCCTGCTTTTCTTTTCTCTTCTGGGAAGCATTTAGGCTTACTGCAAAACCCAGGGCAGGATATTGTTGCTGTCTTGCTTCTCTGAATCTTTTCTGTCCGAATCTGAAGACAACTTGCTGCGGTCATCGCTTCTTACTGTCTTCATTGCTTCCCCTTGCTTTGCTCTTCTCCGCTGCCTTTGTCTTTGGATTATTGCTGATCTGCATCAAGCAGCAAGAAGATAATGAGTTCAGTAATTTAGATGCAACCTATTCTTGCCATAAATTTCACTTGAAATACTCAGTTTTCATGGCTACCATCCATGGCATTCACCAAAAGCTTTCAATTTAAATAAATACTGTCAAAGCTTTTTCCCCTCATTGTCTGATGATATTCGCAGGAAT